TCTTGCTCTTATGTGATATTCCAGATGCAAGGAATCCAAAGATAACTTTTGAGGACTGAACCCTTACTAAAATGATGGATAACACTGCTGCCTTTCTGGCAATGGGCTGTGACGAGGAGAATGGACAGTGCAGGGACATTATAACCTTAACTATTGCAGGGCCCATACATCTCTCTGTATGTATGGGCAACCTGTAGCAAGTGTCTTAACTGTTCCACATCTCAGTAAATGCTATTTCACTGCAAGACTGTGGCATATTATTTGGCATAAAGTCAAAGCAATTTTGTGTACATTTGGTTGGTTTGTTTTTTTGTTGCTCCTGAGTGGCACTGGTGTGAATTTGCAGGTTAGAGGTTTCCTATGCATGTTTGCATAGGGAATGTTACCTGCACGTGGTTCAACTGCAGAAGGCAAAGGAAGCAGGTGGTCATTGAACACAGTGACATTATCCTAAGTGCCAATCAGAAGGTAGGTAGAGTGCCTGTTCTTAGATATACAAAAGTATTAATGAAAGAAAGAAATAAAACCTCCTTCTTGCCACTTCTACAATGTTGTTTTTTTCTGTAAGATTTAAAAATACTTCTGATTTCCCTCTTGCTCATGCTAGGTTGAACTGTAATATTCCTGCAGAGCTTCTACACGTGMAGCAGCTACACATTTAATTCCTTAGCTCAGACCTGAGGAGCAAACTGGAAGTTACTGGAGTTCAAAGTCCCTTTTCCAGGTTTGCTTTCCTGAAGGATTTGTTTAGCTAGTCTGTCAGCAATAACTCCGTGTTGTTTGTTCCTATTTACCCTTCTGTCTGCAGCTCCTTTGCATTACAGATAATCAGCCCACGCTGTGGGAGTAGGTTGTAGTGACCATGAAGGGTTRTTGAATGTCTCCAAAATGAGCTCTTACTTGTCTATTTGCAAATATTAACATGTGAAAGGGAGGCACAGAAATGGGCTAAAAAGAAAAGTCTCCAAGTTCCTTTCTTTAATTGGTTGAACACAGTGATAAATACACCAGGTCTAAGGTGACCTGTGAAATTCTGATTTTTGCAAGCATAGACGACTCTTTTCTACGTTGTCAAAGTAGTACTTTTTTTTTCCTTTCTACCGAGTAAGTAGCTGCTCAAGTTTCACAACGTTAGCTCTGAAAAAATTCTGCCTCACGATGCCTCATCGGCAGAATTTGTCCACCACGTCTGAAGCCGTTCTTGTTCATGATGAATGTGGATCAGGATTTTACTTTCTTGGCTGGCATTTGTGCCCTTTTGAATGGACAAGGATTCAAAACCTTATCCTCCTTGTGCAAACTAGCTCCAAAAGTGTTATTCTTCAGGAACAGAATATTAAGCACAGTGAATTCTTTCTCTTTCCTATTTTTCTTTCTTTTTCTCCTCCTTTTTTTTCTTTCTATTTTTTTCTTTTTTTCTTTTTTCCTTTCCTTTTTTTTTCCTTTCCTGAAGGATCAAGATGGAATAGAATTCACCAGAGTCTTTGCATTAGTAGATATAGATCTTTTATCTACCGCTAATATTTCCTAGTAAGAGATGGGGACCTGCGCACGGCTATTTTGAAACCGGCTGTAGACATCCTACTCGCCTGAACTGATTTATAGATTCTCTGAATCCTCAGGGCCCAGTACCTTCAGTTCCCTGTGTRAAACCTGGGCTGGACAACTTGGCACTCGCCGTGGCTGGTTGCAGAGTTTTTCCTTGTGCATGTGCTGCTTTTTGCCGTGGAGCTTTAGAGCCAGGAAAGTAAGTGTCAGTAAAATGACAAGTTTAGTGGCTCCTCCCCAGATAGTTGGGACAGCAGATTTTTTTTCCTACCAATAACCCATTTTGCTAATTGGGAAGCATTAATGCTTAGTGAAGAACTGCTGTTTCCGTTGGTTTTTACTTGAGGATAGTCTGAAATAGTGCAGATGGATCGAAGTAAGCAACTTTGAATATACATTATCACATTGAAGTAAAACTCTATGCTGGTGGGTTGTATTGAGGCATTTCCTCATTGTGAGTTAGCTTCAGTTTAATAATAAGCTTCAGTTACTTGACATCTGGTTCACTCTCTAGTTCTTCCTTAAAATATGAATGATATTGTTCTTACATTTTTAAAAATGTGTTTTTATGTCCATTTTTACTGCTAAGGCTCTTTTTTCTATGATAAACATAATATGAACAAAAGCTTACGGACTCCCTAAATATTATTGCATTTATCTTTCAAACTGCAATTAATTATTCTGAGTATTTATTAAAAAGTAAATTTTGATAAGTGACAYTTAATCATGCATTCAAAAGTGATTGTAGGGAGGATAAGAATAATAAAGAACAATGTCTGAAAGGAAGTGTAAAATATTTAAGTATTTTAAGCAAGCTGAGGTGAAAACATCAGAAGTAACCATTTGGGCAATTGCAAAATAAAAGGAGACATATGTTGCTTCTAGGCTGTGGAACTTCCAGAGYTGGTACTTCTCAGTATCTTAACAAGAATTTATTTGTATTTGATGGTTTTTCAAACTTTCAGTTGTGACATTATGAGAATAGAAWTTTTTTGGTTGTTTTTTGATGAGAAAACTGTCTCTATTAACATTATATTTTTTTTCTTGGTAATGGAGAAATTTTGCAAAAGTGACTATGAAAGTATCACACACCTTTATAGCAGCAGCAGCAACAACAATAAATTGAAGCATTTCCTGTGTAACACAATGCATTCCTTCGGGTCAATCTTGTCATTTTCTGATGCTTAAAATCGAAGCTTAAAAAGTTTGGGATTGTCATCGCTGAACTTCACATGCATAGGAAAAACTATAGCACATTCTGTACTTGTCCGTGATTAGACAAACGTCTTCCAGAGCTTTGCGGAGCCGGCAGTCCAGCGGATCCTTGGCAGTCCATAAGGAATCCCAGGCGTTGCTAGCAACACATGTGGTTACTGTAAAAGAAAGGGGGGCAAGAAACTAGGCCCTGGGCTTTCTTAGCTCCAAAATAAGTTGTCAAGCACGTCAGCAGAGCCAAATTTGAGATCTTTTTTAGTGTTAGTTCTTCGGATGGTTTCTTATCTCTCCTTTAGGTCTTAAGGATTGGTCTTGTAGCCCTTGATGCCTTGTGTAGGACATGAATATTCAAGCAGGCAGCCCTGTGTTCCAGCTGAAGTAAACAGAGTCGCTGTCATCAGCTTTGTCTTTTGTATTTGTGTTTCAACAATTAGCCAAGGAATACAGTTAAGAAAAATAAATGACCATCAGTCATGTCTGAGAGGTTGAACTAGTGAAAACAATAAAAAAGTGGATTTTTTTGCTGTGGGAGGCAAAGAAAAAGAAGAAAGCCTTCTCTGTTACCAAGCCATAAGTTTTCTTTTAAGTTGTCTCCTTAAGTTTGTCATGTGCGTAGTGAAAACAGTCTTAAATGTCAGAAGAATGCCATTTTTACCTTCTTAATGGTGTGGTGGTAAAATGGGGATAATCTTCAAGATGAAATTAAATAACAAACTGTATGCCAAAAATGTATTTTGCTCACTTCTGTATTGTGAATTTGTTTTTTTCTGTGCAACACTAGTTACTTCTGCACATTTTATTCTGCATTGTCATCATAAGTGACAGAGAAGGCAGTTCTCGTTGCTTCGCACAGTAACTGCTTTKCTGTTGTGCTTGATTTATTTAGTTATTTATTTCATGTTAAATGCTCTGAATGAATGCCTTAGTCTTGTCATTATTTCAGGTTACTGGCTGTCTCTGTTCTGCTCTCATGCCCCCAATCTCTTCTTGATCCCTTCCACTGCAATGTCCCCCACACAAATCTCTAACCTTGGAAAACAATAYGTACTTTTAAACTGAGCTCATAATCCTGTTTTGCAATAAATACCTTTAAACTATCTTCAAGGAAATACCCTATTAAAAATGCTAATTTTCCATGTAAATTGGCCACAGTGTCTATGAAAATGCTCACTCGAACTTTGCAAAACAAGGGCTTGATGTCTCTTTGGAGCTGTGGTTTACAGACTTCCTCCTGTGTATCTTAACTTGATGAATTCTTTATCATTTTGCCAGGGGTCATGGACTGTTATATAATTCCAATGAAGCTGTCAGTCCTCTGAAAGAATTATGAGTATCTGGAATGGTACAGATGTCAGACGCGATGGATTACCAGCTTTAGCTTTTGATATATAACTGTGATGCCGGGAGAAAAAAATAAGTCTTAGCAGGCTCAGGTTTAAAGTAGACCATTTGAATAAAAAGACTGGGTTAATGTATTCTGGAAAAGGTCCCTTCCTTTATATTCACTTTTCCTGTCTGATTTTGTCTTCTAGTGTTGTCCCCCAGACCACAGTAATACTGAACAACGATCGGCAGAATTCGATTGTAGCCAAGATGGTTGGGCAGGAAGAGCCGCTGAGCAGAGCGACGGATTCCCTGGAAAACATCCTCAGCAAGTTGGTAGCAGTTTCTGCAGTCCTCCCCCTTCCCTCCCTCTTCCTGAACAGATCAGTAGTGGTCGTTGCTGTAGTTCCAAGGGCAAATTGAGGAATGTTCTAGGTAATGGTGTGGGGAGGTAAGAGTGAAGTGCCTGACTCAGTATCAAGCTGACAATCCTGCCCAAGGTAACCCCCTAAAAGCTGAAAATAGAGTACACAGCAGCCCAGGGGTGTTTGGTAGGTTTTGTCCTACAGTAAACTTTAACTAGAAAGGGAGATTCTAGATAGAAAAAGGTTTTAAATAATTTATTCAGAGATCTTTTTATTTAAATAATTTTGTTTGTTTTGCGTGCTGAGCCTGGACTTTCCACTGATGCAAATTTAGAAAGCATGCATTCAAATTTTAAAATTTATTCTCCTATTTTCTTTTTATTATTTTGCTGGATAGCTCTTAGCAATGAACAAGCGTAGGCTTGACAGAAGGGTACATTTTTATTCTATGCTTAATATTCTCAATTAGTAGTTTTGATTCCCATAAGATATTGGTATTCCTGATCAGGGATTATGTTTTCGCAAAGCGTGCGCTTTTCTCTTTCCTAGCGCGGTTCCTGGCCGCAGGCAGAACACCATCGTGGTGAAAGTTCCGGGGCACGATGACAGTCACAATGAGGACGGCGAGAGCGGCTCCGAGGCCAGCGACTCCGTCTCCAACAGCGGGCAGTTAGGAGGCCAAAGTATTGGGAACAACGTCACCCTTATTACCCTGAACTCCGAAGGTAGGTTCATCAAACTGGGAGGCCCCTTGAGCAGAGTAACTGGGGTAGTGGAGTGAACTAAGACTCAGCTAGACCCTTCAGACGTTGCAGCCCTGGTTGAGCCTTGAATTGGAAGGCAGCACAGCAAGCATCAGATAAAATCACGAGCTGAATGAATCATCCTCACTTCYAGTAGTTTTGCAGGCAGAAGAGCTAATTAAAATGACTCATAAAGTTTTAAGAGAGTGCCCCACTCTAGCAGTGCAGCTTTATATTTTCAGCTGTTTTAATTAAGACGTGCAACCTACAGGATTTGCTGCTGCCGGTTTGAAATGTTGTTCCAGGAAAATATCTGCCTTCTCTGGCAAATAAAATCTCTACTCGATCTCCTTCTCCCACTTATTGTGCCAGTTCGTATGTATAGTTGTTATGAAAGCAAAATGTTCTTTTTGGCAACCGTAAACATTTTTTATCAGGAAATTCTGATTATAAATGAGCTTGTTGTAGGGGATAGTTTGTAGTGTCAGAGATTTTGAGACGTCTACTTCAAGATTTGGAGAACGGGAAATCAGATTCAGTGGAATCTAAGAATGTTATAGCCTTATAAAGATATTCAATTTCATGCGGTTGGAAATATTGAAGTGAATGTTAATTACTATATTTTAATCCCAAATGATGGGATATATGACACGGTTAAGTTTTTAGGTGRAAATAACATATTTTATAGCCGCACCTTGTTAATTTTATGTTTATGACTGAAACTGAATATTTAAGAGATCATTCAAAGTCTTCAGAACTGACTCATAATTCCAGATGCTAGATTTCGTGCATAACTCAGTTTGACACTTTATCAACCCTAATACTTAGAAAACCTCAGAAATCTGCCTGCCGAATGTCTCACGTGGCAGAGACTCGCTGAAAATGTTGCTCGAGGGCGTTTGAACCTAGGATTCTGCAGCTTCTCTGTGTACTCGCACAGAATACGTGTTTCAYGGAGAATTTCTAAAATCTGCTTTCCTGTATCTGTGCTGTGACAAAGAGAGGTTTCCAAAGGGTGTTTGATTTTGGGGTCAATGGAGGATTAAAGGAAGGTGAGGCCATCTGGAGAGTCCTTCTGCACAGGATCATCAGATTGCAGATAGCACCGATATTTCCACRTGAAAATCCAAGTTCTGTAGCAGCGGGCTGGAAATATATTACTTTATGATTGCTGCTATTTATAGCAAGGTTCTTTTTTTAATCGGCATACAATAATTGTACTGTTTTTTACATCCTCCATATGAATTCTTCCCTGATGCACTTTATCTGCATTTCCTTTTTGGCTTCTACTGTAAGAAAATTTCTTTTGTGCTATCTGGACAAAATCCGATAGGTTTAGGTCTAGGTTGTCTGCTTCCACCATTAAGGAGTCTATGGAAGGACAAGGGCCAAGTCTTTTGTTCTCAGCTCTTGGTGGATGTCAGTCTGCTAGCTGGAGAGGTTTGGGTTTGCCAGTTTTGCACGCTGTGCTCTGGTTTCTTCTTTTCCCCCAGACTGGTAAAAAGCAGTGGGAGGGAAGTCTGAGCTACTCTGGTTGGGTGGAAGGAGCTTTACTGAAAATATTTTTGACTTTTCAGCATCTCTGTTTGACTTATCCAACCTCACCCCTTGTGTCGTTGATTGGCCCTTGGTGGCCCAGCTGATTAACACTGTGCCTGGGACTGTCTTCCCTTGTAGTAAAGGTATTTTAATGGGTACAAATATTGTGTGTCTCTGTGTTAGTGAGATAAGATTTGTACAATGTTTTATGTGGAACTACATCATAAATGCACTGGAGGCCAAACTAGGTGCAAAATTAAACACCTTTTGTGTATAGGGCGACATATTCTGAAGACACTTGGTGATGCTTCATCATGTGCACTAGCTGCTGTATATTTTAGATGAAAGTCAGTGTTCTGGCTTTGATGTGTTAAGCCCTGAATAGCCTAGGAGGAGACTTTATAAAGAGGGGTCTTTAGGAGGGGCTTTGTAAAGAGCATTTTGTTATTTTCCCCAGTTGTAGGCAAATAATCTGAGCAGTAAAAATATTACAGATTCCTTTCATGGGGGGACATGGATAAACAGGGAGATTTTTAAATTTGAATTTTGCTTCTCTAATTTGACTGTTTTAAAATCCTGATAAGGAGGAGGAAGAGTGGCGCAAATTAAATGATGAAATTAATATAATACAGATACTGTTCAAACTAAAGCAAATCTGTACTATCTTATATTACTTTAAATGGGAATTAAAACAATGCTACAGTCAGAAGAGACTGTAGCATGATAAAGTAAAGGTACAGTATTTATAAGAGAAACTATTTTCTAACCTTTCTTCATACACTTTAAAGCTCTGTGAGGCAGAAAATCATGTACTTCCAGAGAAGAAAAATGCTCTTAAACTCCAGTTTGAATATTCGTATTTTACAGAGCATACATATTTTACAGGCTTTGACAATAGACTTGAAATCAGAAAAAAAAAAGTCTTTGCATCTTATTCAGCAGATTAATATCAGGAGGAGTGGAAGGTGTGGAATGTTGGTACCTTCAGGTCTGGTGTGGCAGGGCTTGCACATAAAATGTGCTCTTTGGGGAGTTTGTTGATATTTCATAGAGCTTTGCATCAGCAATGTTAGGAGCAAAGTTTCCAGTATTAGACTATTTGTTGTCATGTGCTCTTTCTGAGTGGTTTAGCACAGATGTGGGCAAATGTTCTATGCACTTTTTATATGTAAATTTTAGAGAAACAGCTAATCCATTAAAGTCTTCAGATCTGATTTTCTTCAGACCTTTAGAACACTCATCCATTAAAAATCTTGCTGAGATTTATGAACTCTTTGAGAATCAGATTAGCAATCCCCCAGCCTACCTCTTCTTGTCCTCGTGAAGATTGCAGAGGACTCTTTGCTTAGCAGGAATGTTAAACTCTCCGGCAGCATGTCACAGGAATGAAATTATTAATCAAAGACGTGATGAAGAATAATAGGTCTGTTGTTACACATTCATTTTCTTCAACAGTAAAAGACAAGAGTTTTGTCTTTTTGTCAGCACCCATCAACTTTACATTCCGAAAAGTAATTCTGAATGACTTTGAGTTGCCCAAAGGAATCTTGAGTGGTCACAGAACAAGAGGGGACAGAATGGCCCCGTCAGCCTCGCACACTCAAACTAGACAACAGGTTTTCAACGCAACACTCATTTTTTGTCCTGTATCTAAAAGACAAAACTGAACCATGTTTATAGTTGCTCTTTACAGCCTTTACATGTGACATTGACTTGTGGATACTCTCAGAATTTGGTTAACTTTTATACAAATATGTAGTTTGTTCTCTGTTAGCTATTTTCAAAGAAAGTTCAATCCCAATTTGTAGTTTAAAAAAAAATCCCTTACTTAGGTTGCCTTTCTGTTTCTGAAAGCCAAATAATAGAAAAGGAGGAAATCCTATTCCCTGTTCAGGAAAACCCTCAAGAAGGGCGTACATTTGTATTTACTCAACCTTGTGTCTTGATTCCGTCCCCAGTTGTATGTTATTCTGTTGGCATGTGCAGTAAGTCATGTTTTGTATTTTCTCWGAGGAAGAGTTACTTGATGCTTCCTTTTACCTTCCAGAAAATCCAAAATATTCATCTATTTCAGAGATGCAGTAAATGGCCTGAAGAGTTTGATTGTAAAGATGTAGTATTTATGAAGATAAGGCATCCAAAGGTATTGAATCTTAATTTTTGTGTCAAATTCTCCTTCAGAATTTGTCATGCTGTTTTTACATGGGGATGATGGTGGAAATATTAACACCTCTTGTATTCATGAACTAAGGAGCAAAACTGATGTTCATGAAATAATTTTGCACAACTGGAGATAAAGCCCAATCGGAGTTGAATTGGCCAGTATAAATTCAATTTGGCTAAAGGACTGCCTTGCAGGAACGTGATAGCTACTTACTGGTTTTATTCATGTCATATTTTTGGCATAGCAAATACCTTATTCAGCCCACTAAGGGATAGTTTATTCTTTTATTGCATAGGTATTAATATGGCATGGCAGAATGAGGAGACTTGTCTTCTCTTTAACTGAGGACCACTGTTTCAAACTAAAGATCTTTTTGTTGAATAATTATCCTACAGTCTCTGCTAAGAAGTTCTGGCTTGAAGTGCAAGTTCTAATGGGTATTTTTGTACCATTGAGCATAAGAATAGTCTTCCAGAGACTGAAATGACTTGGGAGCAATGGACTTTGTTTTGATATTGCTGATTAAACGCTACAGTACCAAGTAGATAGTTCATAAAGCAGCCTCTTCCATTGCTGCATTACATTTCATACAGAGTAACACAAAACAACGTTGAGAGAGCTGCTCTGATCAAAGGGAATCAAGTTGCCAGTTGTGTTATGTAACTGTTCTTACTCAGTCTGCTTAATAACTGAATAAATAAATCCCAAGCCTAGTCTCCCTTTGTCACTTGAATCATCAAAACTCTATAAATAAATCATGTATTGTGGTAGAAACATCTTTGGAGTGTCCAACTGGAAATATACCTTCATGTTTTCATAAATCCATATTTTTTGTTTCTGAAGTGTGGCTTTCAGAAGTTTGAAGTACTCAAGTCTTCCCATCTGTTTTAGAAGGTAGTCAGTCTGTGGATGCATCTGTTTTAGTAGGAATGTCTTCTGGAGGAAAAAACAAGCAAACATGAGTTATAGCATGACCTGTCAAACCTTAAAACAAAACATTTTATCATGCCAGTATTCATCAAATTGGATAGAGGACAGTTTTCTGAAATGTTCCAGTGGATGAAAACAACATAAATAAAGTGAAAACCAATGTCTTTCCTGCCTTCTGCTCAGGCACTGTACACTTTCCTTTAGTCTGGAGAATATCCATGTTTAAAAATAACTATGTTGTTGTCCTTATTTTTGTCCTAGCCCAGATTAATACACTTTCTCATTCAATGGAATAAAACACAAACGTTTTATGACTAAGATCTTATTTTAATGAACAATTTTATTAATA